TAAAAACAATTGAATAAATAGAAAATCAAAACAGAAAATCTTATCTCTATCATAACATAAAGTTTTGCATGATCTAATCCGATTACCATCTATCGATTTTCTAAAAAAAAACAAAAAAAAACAATTCAATAAATACAAAATCAAAACAGAAAATCTTATCTCTATTATAACAGAAAGTTTTGCAAGATCTTATCCTTAAATCAATATCATATCCAAGATTTTCGCATCATAAGCATATATTTAATTTCAACCTGATTGGTCTATAATTTCGGTAACTAATTTTCTTGCGGAAGAGGAAACAATAAATTCAAAATCTAATGGAATATATAGATTGAACCAAATTCCTATATTCGGGTATATTTTCGAAAGAAATAGAAAAAAAGGGTTTTAACATGGGTTTCAATAATGTGGGCTTTCAACATATTATTTTGACACTAAACAAATGATCAGAAATAATATATTATTAATATAATTATGAAATAGTTTAGATTGGGATGACCAAATTTTAATCTGTTTTTATATGTTTATTTTTTATACAAATTTACAAAATCTTTTTATTTTTTAAACATGTTAAACTAACTTTTAATTTTTAGGCATATTGAGTCATAATATAATTTTTAAAATAATTTGCAGTCATTTCCATTGTCTTTATATATAGTATACAATTCTCTAATTAACTATATATGTTTAATTTTTTATATGATATCGAAGATTAATCATACAATAGATGGTTTAACATGCCAAAAATATTATATGCTAAGTGAATATAATATGATCAAGTATTACAAGTACATCATTTAATAAAATAAATAATCAACAACCGGAAAATCATACCCGCGCTGGCGCGCGGGTCAAGGTCTAGTTATTCTTAAAACACAAATTGTCTGTGTTTTCCCTTTCTTTCAAAGAGTTCTGCACGCGACATTTGCTAATTGACTATTATACCCTCTTTAGTTACTATAGGAGTCCAATTAATAGAGGCCAACTTTTTATTTACATCGGTTTCCAATTTATTATGGAAGCACTTTACTTCGAAACAAATTGTGGTTTTTAATTCTGTTGAAGTAAATGATTACTTAATATCAATGATGTATTAACCAAGTTTCAGGATGTTTCTAATGTACCATGGAACCTTTTTAATGGTTAGCTTAGAACTTAATTTGCATGTTTTACTTAATTTAACATTATCAAGAAGTATGAGAAACCAAAGCCATAACCAATTTGATTCAAAACCACATACAAAGCTGTTCCAAGGAATCTTATTTGAGGAAAGCCAAATGTCATTCAACACACACCTTCATCACACCAAGACAAGAAAACCAATCAAACACTACACATGCAAATCCATTACAAAACCAACATGAAAAAAAGTTTCAGGTACTACAACGTGTTTATCACAATCGTCTTCCAGAGAGGCTAATGGAACTGACTTTTTGAGGAGTGGCAACCACAAGTGGAGCTTCTGGAGATTTGTTACCAGAGAAAGAGAATCTATCGTGCATGAATCTGCTCTCAACGATTGACTCATCCTTCAACAAGATTTTGTAGCAGTAACAGCTCTTGAGCCCTTGCTGGTTCCTATAGCACTCGTGCGCACTGTTCTTCACCCGCTCCAAGTCCCATATCACACTGAACTTCCCCACTGTTGCTACTATGTGCCTCTCTTGCTTCCCGCTCTCCGTTACCTGCATATAACATTCACAAACACACACACACAAACAAAGACTATGAGATTTGGCTTTTAAAAGAACCAACAATTTGTAAACAAGTGAAAGCTTACCCATGAGAAGTGAGCGCCGTGAAACTTATTATCTTTCCCTGCCAAGTGTGAATCTAACGGCGTTAGCTTCAACAGCCTTGGAGCTGGTATCTTGTTCCCCATCCTTCCGCTAAAACCTGTCTTAGTCCGACCATCTTTATCAGTGAAAAGGGTGCATATCAGAACCAAGTATGTATCCGTTGTCCCCAAGATCCATTTCCCATCATAAGACACGTCCACATGAGTAATCGGCGAGCCAAGCCCTGGGAAAGCTGTCTTCGCCATTCTCATTGATGTCTTCGAGTACAACCTTATCTTCCCATCACGAGATCCCACAACAATCGACCCATCTCCAGTACTAGCAAAGCACTGAAAATTAGTTCCTCTACTAAACTGATGCCCTTGAGTCCACTCCAAGACGGGCGAGTCAATGTTCTGCACTATACCTCTCTTGTCTCTCATGTCCCACTGACACAACCTATTATCATCCAACCCCAAAAACGTACTCTCTGACGGATCTAGCTGCGAGCCTTTAGTATCATTAGTTATATCTCTCATCGTGATCTCAGTCCCGTCTTTCTCAAACTTCCACTCAGTAACAATCTTCCCTGACTCAATATCAAGCTGCTTAACACCACTCGTGTTAGGCTTCCCTTGTTGAGCAGGACTCATCAGCATCATATTAGTCTCCGCCCTCATCAAAAGCGCCTTGTTTGGTGTCCCCTGGCTCGAACCAGACCTTCCAGAATCAAACCTAACGCACACACCTTTCCCATGAATCCCACGTTCCATATTCCTGTAAACCTGAACCCCTGAATCATTCACAAGAAACGAATTCTCCAAAGCACCTAAAGCTAAACTAGACACTCCACCGTTAGCCACCTCTTCAAACTCCTCAGTCAAGTCCTTACCTTTCTCCTCTTCTTCTTCTTCCTCAGGTGGACCTTCAGCATCCTCCCACATAGAGTCATCAGCAGCTTCAGGGTTAGCCCAATTCACAAAATCTTTCCCATAAACCTTCACCTTACTCTCCTCAGAAGCCTTAACCATAAAAACATTCTCAAACAGATAATCCTGAAACCTAGTAACGAACTTTCGATACTCTTCATCCGTTAAAAACTTCAAAGCCCAAACACCGTTACTAACGAAATCAACTCTACGTTGATCCCCAAACATCTTCAACTGCATATCACTCGAAACCCTAGCTTTGACCTTGGAACCACCAACGCCGAGAAACCAAAAGGACTCGCCTTTCTCGTCTGACTCTTCCCCATCGTCGTAATCGTCGAGATCGGATCCATCCAACGACGACGTTTTGACGAATTTGTAGGAAGTGAGTTTCTCCGCGGTGACCCATTTCGCCTTGGGCGTGTTTCCGCCGATGTGGCGGTAAAGCTTCACGGCGTTTTTGATCGTGGGGGTTGCGGATGGGTATTTCAATTTCAAGGCGTTTAGCTTGTGTTCGATTTCGTGAGTCGATGATGAATTGGGAGAGGGTTTCGAACCAGAAGCGGACGAAGATCCTTGCTTCTGATCAGCATCTTCTTCTTCTTCGTAGTAATCTGAATCGGATTCAGTATCGGAATCGGTGATCCGATCTTCACGACTCTGAGAAGTACCCATGAGTGAGAAGAAAAAAAAGTTTCCTCTTTTGGAATTCTCGAAGGTGGTGAATCAGAACGGATCGCTATAGAGATTTTGTGGAGTGGATCGAAATGGATTTGAAAGTTTCTTTGAGAGAGAGAGAGAGAAAGAGTGTTTGTAGGAGAAGAAGTTAGGGATTTGAGAGGAGGTGTGTTTTATAGGGTAACGAGAATCTGTTGGGGAGATACGTTTAGCGTTCATATAACGTTGGGCTTTTGCTTCGCTCTGACGCAAACGCTTTTAGAACGCGTCGGCCACTTGCGTCGGCCGAAAAAAAAAATTAATTAAACAAAATGAGAGAGATTACGCGCCAGGTAGGGGTCGAACCTACGGCCTTCTGCTTAGGAAACAGACGCTCTATCCACTGAGCTACAGGCGCTTAATTGTTTGTTTGTATCTGTAAACATTATATAATCGCACAATATGAAAATGGTGAATGAATTATGATTATACGAGGTGGAATTAGAAAATATTCTGTGAAAAACTTAGACTTCCTAGCTAATAAATCAGTACCAGAATTGGAAGCTTGATTCCTATATACGAATGTCACCTCATCAAAATGATTCTTCCAAGCGTGATATATTGTTGGAGGCGTAAATTTGTAGCCTGCTCTTGAATGCACTTATTAAACTGAATATTATCCCCTTCAAAAATTACTTGTTTTATATCTCAAGAATGATATAGCTTGCAAAACCCAAATCAGCGTTGTACATTCACTTTCACTGTGAAAATAGTTTAAAAATCTCTGAACTTGTATTCTAAAGTGATATTGTGCATAGGGACAAAGAAAGAAAAGATGAGTTTCTTCTATATTACAGCAACGACTACAAAAAGGATCCACATATGTCGCTGCCGTAGTGAAGACTTAATAGCTAGCGCACGGGATAATAGCCGCAAGAGGAAATGTTTTAGTTTCAGCTGTATATCCAATTTCGATACTTGTTTTGCAAGGTCTGGTCTGGATGTACTGCGAGAGGCGCTGCAGTATCAGATGATGTTATAGTGCTTTCTAACATCGCATAATAACCAGACCGGACTCTATAGTTTCCATCTCTTGTATGACTCCTCAGTTTACTATCCTCAGCTTTGATCGGTGGCAGATATAATTTAAGGGTAAGATGATGATCTTGTTTTTCTATGAGATCCTTAATATTCTCGAAATCCCATTGGTGAGTTTGGGGATCTATCAATGTTGCAACGGTTAACTGGGAATTTGTTAAAGCATCACGCGTATGTGGAAACACTTTTTCACCAAAAGTAAGAGTAGACTTCTCTAGGTTTATCAGCTGCCCTGAAGCGTTTTCTTATTCTTTGAAAATGTTTCTGATAGCTTTGAGTGCTAGCCTTGACGAAGAATAGAGAGACATCAGCAGAGAGTAAATGGGATACCAGTGGACCTCCGACACTCAAACGAAAATGAAACAGACTATACACAAATCATTGTAAGGGAATGAGTTGGTGACAAACGAAAGCTTAGCGCAGAGGACAAGCAAATAAAAGCTGAGTACATTTTTTGTTGTTGTTTAGCTTTGTCATGTTTTAGGAGTTACTTTGAAAAGCTTGAATTAGCTCCCCGGCCCTCTCTGTACAAGAGCACATATATAAAATGCAAGAAATTTAGAAGTTAAAATTAAAAACTGTGATCACTTAAACAACACACACCAAAATATAAATATTAAAAAAAATCTATAGCTGATTTAGTCACATACTGTATTATTCTTTTGCCTCCATCTGGCTCGATTTGAACCAAACTTGGGGTATAATCAAGAATAGCTGGCCCACGTATATCAGTTTCATCTACTCCTAAATCCAATTCTATGAATTTACTATCCTCCCCAACAATGTACATCATTTCTTTGGAGGCACACAATGTCTTATAACACACTACCACTTTCTTCTTTTCTTCCTTTAGCAAGAAACTTCCAAAATCCGTAATCGTATAATCAAGACTCAAATCCAATGCAAATACCTTGGTCCAAGACACAGCCTTGGTTTCATCAATCTCATCTGTTACCCATATCTCAGTCTTTGATGTAGTTTCGCGTTGTAATGCCACGGAAAGTTTCTCATGTCTGAAGACACAAACATTTATGTTTTCATAATCTTGACACTGATAAGGAAGAAGCACACGACCTCCAATTTTCTCCGTTGAAAAATCAAATTTGTTCAAGAATATGCCAAGGTCCATTTTTGTTTCATCCATATCAAACCAGTAACTATTTCCCTTCAAAGATACAGCCTGAATACCACGCTTTGGCTCGCCTGGATTGTTGTCATCATCAAGAATCCTATATGAATCAGAGTTAAGGTCGTAGATTGTCACATCATTCGTGCCACCATTAGGATCAAAGTTCAAGACTTTGTAACTGATCTTATTACATGACGACTTGCTGTCTTTGTTATAACCGAGTAAAAATGAGTTGCATCCCTTGGAACGTTTCTTGAACTGAATCCATCTTGAATGATTAGTAAGAGGGTTCCAAACTAGGACTCTAGATAACTTGTTCGAGGTGCATAACAATAAGCCGTCACAGTGAAAGAGTTGGTATGCATTATTGTAATACGGATCGAGTAGATCACCCTCACGTTTTACAGATGGAGTTTCATGGAGATTGATGATGCTCATCGGAATAACTGTGAATGATTCGGTCAGCAGCAGAACCATACACTGCTTTGCGGATTTGTCACAGTGCTTTCTTATGACTCTTTTGTCGTTGAATAAACGGTTCCATTGTTTGCAAGTAGATCGTAGGTGCTTCACTGATGTGGCTGGGACACGACATAGTATCTCCGCTAGCAAATCTCCTCGAAGTTCAGGCATCTTCATCGTCGTGATCTACAAGGAACGGCCGAACAGCTGCAGGTACAATTTAGGGTTTTAAAGGAGATTAATGACTCTTTTACTTTTTCTCCGTTTAGATAACTTTTCGATTAATTTGGTTTATTTTCAATATTAATGTTAATTTAATGCCTTGATAACCGGATAAATAGAAATAGACCGACTATTTGTTTAATTGACACAGGGCTTTACCACCCTAAACATTTGTGGTAACTGGTAAGCTGTTAGGTTGTGAGCTCATCAGAGCAATCAACAACAAGGTACATATTAAGAAGACCTTTGGTGTTGCGAAAGACATACAACAAATCGCCTCTGTTCTCTTCGATATCTCGTTTTCTTCTTTCTCTCGTAATCTCAATGTTGAAGGCTTGAAGCCGACACTTTAACAAAAAAAAACTAAGAGGCTAATTTGTAACAAAAAAAATCTATTAGATATGATGATTAACTATGCGATAATAATGATCAACTTCCGGGATAATGATACTATGATGAAATTCTCAAAACATTCGAATTGATAGACGGTTCTATATATACGACATCCTCTATAGACAGATTCTCTTTTTTGAAATTTGTAACTAACTTAGAAAAGCTTTAAATTTGACACATCAAATATTATCTTCTTTCACATCAAATATTATCTTCTTTAGACGTGTTAGTAGCTTTCCCTCTCTTAACGAGAGTGCATTATGTAAGGTAAGAAACCATAAAACTGTATAAATAAAGCACGTCTAAAGATACCACTTGTTTATATAATAATAAGATCAAAAGTTTACATTTAGAGTACACCAAGATAAATTAAAGAAAAAACACACACCAACCAAAAAAAAATGAAAGAGGATTGCATGTATAGCTTATTTAGCCACCTCCTTTTCTTTTGCCTATATCCAATTCCGATCAGTAAAACTCAAACCTCATATAATCATATTGATGCTAAAATAAGAAACTCAACAATATTAGAAACCTTCAACGTTGTTTTTTATAACCTTTGAAGCATTCCCCTATTCAATCTCTCCATCAAAAACATAGAAACAATCTGATCGTTTGTTTTTGCTTCTTCATCAAATATACGCCACGATGCTTCCTTTCCTCTTCTTCTTCTTCTTCTTCTTATTATTATCGTTCTCTATCTCTCAAGCTCTCCCTCCTCCTCGAGGTATGATTCTTGATACAACGCAAAGATATTTTCATAGATTCATCAAAATGTTCGTTATTCTATGTCCTAATATGTCACCTTTCCATCTCATATGGAAGGTTTCTACTTAAACTGTGGATCATCCTATACAACGAAACTCAACGAGATAAACTACACATCAGACAGAGGATTCATTAACGTAGGAAACACAACAACAATAAAACAAAAACACCTTCTTCCAATCCTCTCAACATTACGTTACTTCCCAGACAAGTCATCTCGAAAACACTGTTATAACTTCCCTGTCTCCAAGAACTCAAAGTACCTTATCCGAACCACTTACTACTACGGCAACTTCGACGGTAAAAACAACCCACCAGTGTTCGACCAGATCGTTGGAGGCACAAAATGGAGCGTTGTGAATACGTCAGAGGATTACTCCAAGGGTCAGAGTTCTTATTACGAGATCATTGTTGGTGTTCCTGGGAGGACACTTAGTGTTTGTCTAGCCAAGAATGCGAAGACTCTTTCTTCACCTTTTATATCGGCTTTAGATGTGCAATCTCTTGATGATACAATGTACAATTCCACGAATCTCGGGTTGTACAAGCTCAGCCTCATTGCTAGAAACAGCTTCGGAGCAGATGGAGAAATGATTAGGTAAGCATTGTTGATGTTTTTTTTTTTTTTATTAATCTGAGTATCCCGGACCTATAGAAAAACCCAGACTAACTCCCAAAGGGAGGTGCAACCCATGATGAACCTCTTTCTCCGAGTATTCAAATGAGGACCAAAACATTGCTGTGGGCACACAAGTCTAGAGTCTTGGGGTTATTTCGAATCCGGGTTGCTTAGTTTGATGATTTGACATTTTCTTTTTCTTTTTAGCCTGACTTGTGATGGTATGTACTATGTAACATGTTCAAAACTAGCTATCCAGATGACCAATACAACCGTCTATGGCAACCCTTTTCAGACCAGAAGAAACAGACAGTGATCTCTCAAAGCAGCATTAACCCATTGGACTTCTGGAACATTCCACCGGCTAAAGCTTTCATGGAAGGTTTCACAGTGAGAAAAGGGAAGGCTCTAGAGCTTCAATGGCCGCCGTTCCCTCTTCCTGCCACAAAGTACTATATAGCTCTGTATTTTCAGGATGATAGAAGTCCAAGCCCATTGAGCTGGAGAGCTTTTGGTGCATCAATCAATGGAGCTACGTTTTCAAGAAAACTCAATGTGAGCACCAATGGGGTTATGGTTTACTCTGGTCAGTGGCCATTGTCAGGTCAGACTACGATCACGCTGACTCAAGCTAAAGGTTCACCGATGGGACCAGTGATCAATGCTGGAGAAGTGTTTCAGGTTATTCCTCTCGGTGGAGTTACTAATATTAGTGATGGTAATGTACCATGTTCTCCTCTGCTTCATGTTTTTTCTTCTTCTATGTTATGAGATGAATCAAGCTATTGAAAACAACACATTGTTCTGCAGTCACTGCGCTGGAAGATTTGTTAGAGAGCATCAATGAGCCTCCTGCAGATTGGTCTGGTGATCCATGTCTACCTCTTGCTAACTCGTGGACTGGTGTAAGTTGTTCCAGAGAAAAATTCGCCAAAGTGATTTCTCTGTAAGTATCTGTACCTGTAAATTACCAAGTCTAAATCAAGACCATTAAAGAGGACTCTGGATCTTATCTTGCTAGAAATCTGACAAATCGTGGACTAGTGGGCTCTCTACCACCAAGCATTAGCAACATGACTGCACTTAAAGATCTGTAAGGACTTTTGCATCCTTACAAGTTGTTAATTAATGTCTGAGTTTCTTTGTGGAAACTAAGATTCAGCTGCAACTTTCGTGGTCTGCAGATGGTTAGGGAAGAACAATCTCACAGGACTGATCCCAGATTTGAGTCCAATGACGAGATTAGAAACTATGTGTGACATTCTTGTAACCAAACTTCTATAATTGTTCTGCAAAGTATTTATATTAACCTTACCATTTTTTCTTCTGGTGTATGAGACAGACATTTAGAGGACAACCAGTTCAATGGAACGATTCCTGAGTCACTTGCACTGCTGCCTAATCTCCGCTTACTGTAAACAAACTTTCTCTCCTCCTCTCTGCTTATAACAGCAAGCCTACACGTGAATCTGATACTATGACTAGCATCATCATCAAAACTGTTAACAGATAGCATCATCATGATCAAAACTAGCATCAGGTCATTTTTGTTGATGTTAATATTGAATCTACAGGTCCATCAAGAACAACAAACTTCAAGGTATAATTCCTAGTGCACTCCTCCAGAGAAAGGGCCTAACTATTCAGTAAGAACCATAACCATGTTTAACACTTAAAAAAACATCAGCATTTGTCATATGAATTTTGGTTTCAACTTTTTGTTTCCTACTTGATGTAGGGCGTCTCCTGAGAATATGCCAAGCACAAACAACACCGGGCCAAGTTAGGGTGTTAACACTGATCAGAGTTCAAGTGCTCACAGTGATAGATCAGGGAACCTGTAAACTACATGCTCATTTATCTCGGCCTCTAAAATTGAAGTACACAGATCTCATGGAAGAAGGGTTAAATCAAGGAAAAGCATTTGGGCGGCAATGACATTCTACTTTTGCAAGATTCTTCTAAATAACTGTATTAATTTCAAGGAAACCATTTGTATATAATCTGTTCATGTTTCTGAACCACGTTGACCTGTAGAGTAACTTGAAGTAAGAGAGATAGATAACATGAAGATAACAGCAGTGGATTGTATTATTTTCTCTCTGTGGAAAATTGAAACAACCTAAACACAAAGAAGAGTTCCTAGAGTTTATGGTTGCTCAAGATCTGATACATATATAACAGTAATTTCCTATTTGGGAAGTATTGAAAAAAAAGAAGAAGCGAACAAGAATCAGTAGTCTCTGTCTATACCTCCAATCAGCTTGTTTGGGCCAAACATCCCAAAGAAGCAACTTCAACAACGAACTCAAGCGCAGATGCACTCATACTAATAGTTGTGCCTGGTTGAGCAAATCCCAAGGTCAAGATGGTTCATTGTCCAAATCTTCCATCACTTCAATGTCCTTTCGAGATGTTATCTTCTGCACATATCCTGCAATCAGTTTAAACCTTTTTTAGTCAAGATTACTTTGCATAATACACTAGAGACAGAAACAAAATTACAAAACTCTGAAAAGTGGGGCTTTGATTTCCTTTCAAATCAAGGAAGCAGCTGAAAGATACATACTCTAGAAACTCTAGAAGGTCAATGAGAAACTGACCTATCCCTTGGCAAGGTATGCATTTGCAGATAACCTCTTTACCCCTTTTCTTGTAATAGCTAACAGATCCAGATCCTTGGCAACTTCTACACTTCCCAGTCCACTCATAAACCACTTCCTTGCAATCCTGAGAATTTGTAGGGTATATTATCATCAGAATATATTTTTACGCATAACTTTACCACTGCCTGTTGCATAAAACCGAGTAAAGAGCATAATAGTTAAAGTCAAACATTAGCATCATATCTCCCGTTTTCACCAAACTAAACCCTGCTAACACACTGCTTCTATGACAAAAAAAATCCAAAAGAAAAATCTAACTCATTGTTAAATGTTCACAATACGGAAACATCACCCCCCTTCAAGAATCTGATCTTATCTCCAATTCTTCATATAACCCTAACCAAATCAAGAAAAGCTTGCTTCTTTAGTCTACAAACTGTTAAACACCCATGCTTCTATCATACAAAAATCAAAAGGAAAATCTAACCCACTGTTGATATTCACACTTCAGAAACATCATTACCCTTATTGCTCCATAAAAAAAATAATTATTTAAAACCCTAATCATCAACATCCCAAAAGCTACTCACAACAATTCAAAACGTTACTCTGATTAAAACTTATCCAAATCATCATCAAAACCAGAAAAGGTGGGAAAAACCTCGACAACAGGATCACACTGCAACCTCCGGTCAATCTCATCGGGCGACACAGGTGACGTATTCGGATAAGTCATAGGTAGAGGAAGCGCGTCGTCATCCCCCACCAAGTAACTCACTCTGCTTTTCGACCACAGGATTCTCCTTTTCCTCCACTTACCCGATTCACCGTTCCCTCCCGCTGCGGCTGCGGAGACATCTCGAGACTTCGCTGAGTCGGAGGTTGAATCCGGTTCGCGTGGTATTATGATTCCGTCGTTAAGGGGGATATCTGCGGCGGCGCGACAACGAAAGGAGCGAGGAGGAGGAGGAGGAGGAGGAAGGCGGGGGAGGAAGAGGAGAGGTCGGAGAGAGGGGAGAGAGCGATTTGGGTAGAATTGGAACATTGAGACGACGAGTTTGCAGGTGCGGCCATGAAAGTGGGTGACGTTAATCAACCTCGACGAATTAAATTATTATTCCCATTTTTATTATTTTTAAATATTTTATCGTAATATTATTTTTGAGAAAGGTTAAAAGACTTAACCGGTTAAACCAACATAGCTGAAACGGTATTTTAGTCAATAACCGGTTTAAGTATTTTATTTACTTAATTGACTGCGATACCAATCTAGCTTCAAGGGTATTTCAGTCAATATCAACTTCTTTTTTTCAAAATTATTTGGTTTTTAGGTTTATTTCTTGCCGCCAAATAGAATCGTCAAAAGCGTACTCTGTACTCGTCGTAGGTGTGGCTACCGTCGTCGAGAATAGAATGGAGGAAGAAGATGAAGTCGTCATTTCGTCTTCCGATTCCGAAGATTCCAGCGACATTTACGAGGAAGAGTCTCAAGATTCAGAAGGAGAATACGAAAATTCCGACGAAAACACCGAGTGCGAAGACCTCGCCGCCGTTTTTCCTCCATCCGACGCCGATCTGAAATCTAAGAACGTAAACGATCTATTGAGGTACGTAATCGAATCTCCCCGATTTCAATTTGAGCTTGAAACCTGATTAAGGCTTTGTTCGCATATGCGTCTATCTCGAGTTTTCGAGGTTGAGATTTAGGGTTCAATAGGAGATTTCGCCTCTCCTGTTCCAATCACTCCGATTAATTTAGTTTTCTGTAACATTTGATATAGTTTCTAGCGATTCATTGTAGAGTAACGTTATGCTTCCATCTTCAATTTGCTCTCTGATTGTTATGGAATTGAATCTACTTGCACTGTTCACAGGGGAAATCTAGTCGTGCAACGGCAGCCACTCCTTCCTCGAGTGCTTTCAGTATCAGAAGGAGCGGCGGTTTGTAGGAAGCCTTTCAAGCCTCCGTGTTCTCATGGTTACAATACCACTGGTCAACTTTCACGTCGTCTTTCGGCTCGCAAACGCTTTGTTCCTTGGGGTTCTTCAAGTCCAGTTGTGGTTGTACTACCTACTAAGCTGAATGCATCTGAAATTGAGAGAGATGAAGAAGAGGAAGTTGTTTCTCTTCCACCTGATATTGAACCCTTGGTGTTGTGGCAACTTGAAGAATCTGATGATGCAACGAAAATTTCGGTGCATCCATTGCTTGTTCGATTTCTTCGGCCTCATCAAAGGTATTTTCCAATTTTCTATCAAACAAGTGATGTGAAGAACAGTGTAATCCTTAAGGATATCCAAACTTGCATATAAGCTTTGCTGTGATATTGAAGCTAGTAGAAGCAGATCGTAATATGCTCTCGGTATTTTGCCCTGAGTGAACTGAACAGCTTGTGAATATAATAAACTAGTGTCACATTATCTCTAACTGGTCTCACGAATGATGTATACAACTTTACTTGCATGGTGAGATGGTTTTTCTGATGCTGCAGAGAAGGTGTCCAGTTCATGTTCGATTGTGTTTCAGGATTACATGGCTCGGATAATATAAATGGTTGCATTCTGGCTGACGACATGGGGTAAGTTATATCTCCTTCGCAATGTAATATTGTGGTCTGTGCACTTATTCTTTGCTATGTAATTTTCTTATCTCCTTCGCAATGTAATATTGTGGTCTGTGCACTTATTCTTTGCTATGTAATTTTCTTATCTCCTTCGCAATGTAATATTGTGGTCTGTGCACTTATTCTTTGCTATGTAATTTTCTTATCTCCTTCTAAATTTGATTCGACAGTTTGGGGAAGACATTGCAGTCCATTACTTTACTATACACACTTCTATGTCAAGGATTTGATGGGACTCCTATGGTTAAAAAGGCCATTATTGTTACACCAACGAGTCTTGTCAGTAACTGGGAAGCTGAAATTAAGAAATGGGTTGGAGACAGGATTCAGCTTATAGCCCTCTGTGAAAGCACCAGAGATGATGTTTTGTCTGGAATAGATAGTTTCACTCGACCACGAAGCATTTTGCAGGTGTAGTTGTGCATATTTTCTCGTTGACTCTGAAAAGTGCACTTATCACGTTATCTATGTTAGCAGGTACTTATCATTTCTTACGAGACGTTCCGAATGCACTCATCCAAGTTCGGCCAGAGTGGATCCTGTGATCTTCTAATATGCGATGAGGCTCATAGGTTGAAAAATGACCAGACACTGACTAACAAGGTAGCATGCAAATACATACTTATTTCGTATCCTTCCAGGTTTGTACAATTGTACTTTTTATCTCTTATCTTTTCTAATTTTGGCTGTCATCATATTTGGATGCAGGCTTTGGCTTCATTGACATGCAAAAGGCGGGTTTTGTTGTCTGGGACTCCCATGCAGGTAATGAAAACTTCACTGCTTTCTTGTTTTTGTTGTTATTTCTTTCTTTCTGATTCTTATGCATCCGAATGTTCCAGAATGACTTGGAAGAGTTTTTTGCAATGGTCAACTTTACAAATCCAGGAAGTTTAGGCGATGCTGCGCATTTTCGCCACTATTATGAGGTGAGAGACATTAAACTGTGTTCCTCCCTTTGATGCTGATTCAATCAATCCGTGTTCTTTTATCTGTAACTATGTCAAGATCAGTATTTCAAGCCGTTTATTGGCCTAAAATGTAGGTTTAGCGTATGTTACTTTGCAGCTACATATATTATGTTTCGTTAGCAGCTTTATGGCCTGTGGATTCCACTAAGTTGAAAGCTTATAAAGATAGTTTTGAGATTAGAGAACCTTCTTACGCTGTTTCTGTGTTATATAACTTAATTTCAATTGACTATAGGCTGTTATATTTCGTGCACTACATTCTTCTGATGCATCCTTATTTTGATATATTATACATAAGGCACCTATTATATGTGGAAGAGAACCTACAGCTACTGAGGAAGAGAAAAACTTAGCTGCTGACCGCTCGGCAGAACTGAGTTCAAAAGTCAATCAGGTAATTCCTCGTGGCATTTTGTCTGTAAATATCTAATTGTTATTGAGATTTCATCATCTAGATATATCTCTTAAAACAAATGCAGTCTGCTTAGTTGATTTTGGTACTATGATCAATCGAGCATCACTATAATTGTTGCTTATATTTACTGCTTTACCTTAATAAGAATTTCTTTTGTTTACAGTTTATATTGAGGAGAACCAATGCATTGCTCTCCAATCACTTACCACCTAAGGTACCTTTCCTTCTGCATCTGCCACAGTATTCTGAATAAAGTCTCTTATGATGCTAAAACATTTCTCTATCAATATAATTGGCTTAATTACCTCTTCATATGCTGAATCGTCAGACTGAGTAATACATGTTGTTTAAGCAGTTACATAATCATCTGATGAGAGTATAAATAGAACGACGACCTTTTCTTAGCTACTAGTTATTAATTTTGCTGCTTTTCCTATTTTGTTTGGACCCAGAAATACATCAAAATCTTGATGCTGGCTGGATGTTTTGCAGATAATTGAAGTAGTTTGTTGCAAGATGACTACTCTCCAGTCGACTCTGTACAATCATTTTATAAGCTCAAAAAATGTAAGCATTGATCACATTCATTCTTATTACGCTATGGTAAATATATGTGTTGAACTATATGCAATGGGTGCCTCTGCATGCAGCTTAAAAGAGCACTTGCTGATAATGCAAAGCAGACAAAAGTTTTGGCTTATATAACAGCTCTCAAGAAGCTCTGTAATCATCCAAAGGTATCCATTTGTAATTAAGTTTCTCCAATATTGTTAGGCATCTTTGTGAAGTCTTAAGGTGCTACGATCACGTGGTCCATGATCAACGTGATTGACAAACCAATTCCATCTTTCCAAATTTATGCTTAATGATAAACGTTTTTTTCTTCTATGTAGCTTATTTACGATACGATAAAAAGCAAAAGTCCTGGTACTATTGGGTTTGAGGATTGCTTAGATTTTTTCCCTGCAGAAATGTTCTCCGGGAGGTAGGCTTCTTTCTCTAGTTTGAATCATTGCATGACTGCATTTGTGTCACTGCTTGTGATGTAAATGGAACCATCCTTCAGATCTGGAGCATGGACCGGGGGTGATGGTGCCTGGGTCGAACTCTCTGGGAAAATGCATGTTCTCTCTAGACTTTTGGCTAACCTACGTCGCAATACTGATGACCGCATAGTCCTTGTATCCAACTATACACAGGTATGCTACTTTTATTTAATTTGAAGAGAACAGTCGAGGTTTTGGAGCATTGTGGTTTTCCTTTATTGGATTTTGAACAGAATCAGCTGCTTGTGATCACTAGTGGTGTTACTACTGAACTACTTGTTAATTATGGATGTTCCAGTCTATTTGAATTAGTCTTCTGATAAGCTATATGTTATCGGGAGGCTTATGAGCCATTATACTTTGCAACTTTTGCATGTGATATCCGAGAAGGTAAAGAACACGCTAGGCTAATTGGTATGTTTGTATCCAGAGGCAACGCTTTCTTACAAACATCACAATAACTGAACTCTGTTTGTTGTTTGACTGCATAAAACCATCATAATGGTGTGTTCCATATAGATAGCAATTATAAATCCAGTCTGCATACAATAATCATAACTTACACCTTTTGCACTAGACATTGGATCTTTTCGCTCAACTCTGTCGGGAAAGAAGATATCCTTATCTGAGGCTGGATGGATCAACATCAATCAGCAAGAGACAGAAGCTTGTTAACCGGTTGAACGACCCAACAAAGGTACTTGATCTTATATATTTTTGTCTGCCCTTTGTAACGAACCTGGGTAATGATCACTAATCACCTGGTTCGGGTTTTGCTTCTGTAGGATGAATTTGCATTTCTCTTAAGCAGCAAAGCAGGTGGCTGTGGGTTAAATTTAATTGGTGCTAATCGACTTGTTTTGTTCGATCCCGATTGGAATCCTGCCAATGATAAACAAGTACGTATCACCTTAACTTCCTTTTAGATCTATTTCAGAACTATGCCGATAAGGGATGATTGATTGTGCTATATATGCATTGCTTTGCTGTCAAAAGGCTGCTGCGAGAGTTTGGAGGGATGGGCAAAAGAAAAGAGTATATGTCTACAGGTTTCTTAGTACCGGAACTATTGAAGAGAAGGTAGTGTACCACACCCACAGAACTGACCTCACTTTTTGCTCGCGGGAGTAATTGCTAAACTCTCATATTGGTACTTCACTTGATATATTGGTAGGTTTACCAGCGTCAGATGTCAAAAGAAGGGCTTCAAAAAGTTATTCAGCATGAACAGACGGATAACAGCACTAGACAGGTATTTACAGAAACGTTGTATTCGTCGTATGCATAATGCAATGAATATTGACCCCAACATCTTTGATTTTCCAGGGGAACTTACTTTCAACAGAGGATTTAAGAGATTTATTTTCCTTCCACGGGGATGTTAGGTATGTGTTTCTCCTGAATTCACGATGTTTTTTCCCTCTCAAATATGGCTCCCATGTCCACTTTCTTGGAACAGATTTTGCATCTCAATATTCATAAACACACATTCTGTACTGTGTAACGTAGTCAAATGGTTTGTACTCTGCTTTTTTTACTAGGTCTGAAATCCATGAAAAGATGAACTGCACCAGGTGCCAAAATGATGCCTCTGTTACCGAAAACATGGAAGAAGGGAATGAGAACAACGTTGATGACAATACTTGCCAGATTGACCAAGAAGATATAGGCGGATTTGCTAACGATGCAGGATGCCTTCACTCGTTGAAAATCTCCGAGAGACAGGTCCTTTCATGCTTATGCTAGGTTACTGAGTCATGACCTAAGTCTATCTAGAGCTTTGATAAAAGAAAAGCTGAAACATGACCACCAAAAATTCAGATTTAACATAGCAAAACATGGTTCTTATTTCGTCATTAATACCATAGTCAGCAAAAACTATGCTCGTGCATTTGCAACCTGATTAAGTTTTTTTTTTCATGAAAATTCTCAGGTGGGCACTCCGTTGGAGGAAGATCTAGCAAGCTGGGGTCATCATTTTACCTCAAAGTCTGTTCCAGATACTACACTGCAAGCTTCAGCTGGTGACGAGGTGAGTTACCCCTCCGAGTTTTTCTTCAATCTAATCAATCGCCAAGCCAAGCACTGCGATATATGAAGTTTAAGAGGCTTCTGTTAACTTTACACGGTCTATCAAAACATTGCAGGTTACATTTGTATTCACAAACCAGGTGGATGGGAAGCTCATTCCAATCAAATCAAATCCTAGTCCAAAACCGGAAGTAACCGAGACAGATCGTAACCGAAACCAAGCTGTAAGTAACCGTGGCTTCAACAAACCGCAACAAAGACCTCGGGAACCGCTGCAGCCGTTATCTCCCTACGAGACCAACAAAAGAGTGAAGTTGTCTACTTATAAGCGTCTACACTGTACTAATAACACTGATAGTGCTCAAGTGAAAATGCCTTTGCAAATACCAAATCAAGTTCCTGTGAACCACGATGATGATTTTGTATGAAATTTAAAGCTTTTGAGCCTTCAGAGAGACATAATTGTTGTGCTATATTGTGTATTAGTTTGGACAGTTTTGATAGGCCCATGTGGGATTTGTTTTGATAGGAACGCATCGATCATTTATGTTTCATGTTCGTGTTAAGAAGTTTCAGTAACTGCCAATTAGTTAATCCATGAGGCCATAATCAAATGATTGAACCAAAGCAAGACAAAGCTTTGAAAAGACACGAGCTATTTTGAAGTGGACCTTGAAAAGGCCCCGTCTTTGGCAATGGCTGATCGAACCGGACCGGTTAAATTCATCAGAGATATTGGTCTTTCTTTAGTAGATAAATCTACTATCTCTTTTTGAAAAACAAGTCGATTGTTATTTCTTTGCATTATTGTGCTCAGTTTTAATACATAAAATTAAAAAGTGATCGCCGTTTAAAAAAACGTGACAATAATTGGACCTGTTTGTTTGTCTTTTTGGTTGTGAAGTACTTCAGTTTTAAGAAATAAAAAGTAGTGAGGTAAAAAGCTGTTTATTTTGTTTAAGTGAAAAGCACAAGAAATGCAGAGAGTTAAGTAAGAGGAAGAAGACAGAAGGTGTTGAGAAAATTGGAGACAAGAAGACAGCCAAAATAAACTTTAGATACAGCTTACTTATCCACCACAAAAGTCCTATGATGCTATCTATATGTCTAGATTCCCTTACCAAGTTACCATGCTTCACGCCATTTTTAATAATCAAAACTCTACTCTTCTTTTAATATCAAAAACATATACTTTATGGAAAAATTGTTAAATTCGGACTATTTAAGAAATGCAAAATACGGTAAAGTATCTAGGTTTGATTATCAATAATCTCTAGCTAGTAGTCAATCATATGGGAGTTATAAGCACATTATCACTTGAAAAACTCGATCCGGAAAAAGTTGCTGGATACGAAATTGCAGTCAAGGGAACATGTCATTTTTACTGTGTGTAAATGAATGATTGCACACAAATAGTTACGTAAACCGAACGAGCTTGGTCTGGTCTAAAGCGCCACGCGTTAAAACCCTGGTTGAAGAAACGTGGGGAAATTCCATTAGGACTGGAACTGAAGCACGTGAGGGGCCACAACAAGACAAATGTTACCACAGTTTTAGTCAAACCCTAAAGTCTGAATCCAAAAAGATAGATTTTACCTGTTTTTTAAAAGATATTGTTTTCTGTGTTTGGGGCTTTTGATCAGACGAGCATTTCCAGCTCAGACTCACATGGCTCATTTGGTGCTACAGTGCTTTGTCTGCTTGATTGATTCATCTGTTTGTCTGTAACTTAGTATGATTGAGTAATTAGTAATTAACCTGTAAAGAATCTCATCATTTATTTTGGGGAAATATATATATATTGGTGTGTTCTGTTAAAAGTCGTACCTAGAAAATTTCCGTTTAATTCTTAAAAAAAAAAGTTTCCGTTATTTTTCTTCAAGTGTAGCTCATCTTTGTTGATTTATTAGAAATTGTGCATTTATGTACATGACTGAATGAACTGAAAACAAATGAGAGAGGGAATATAGAAATATGTTCACACTGGACTTTGGAGGGCATAAATTGACGAGTTTGTGGAGCTGCAGATAGTTAAAAGCGAAAATGTTATCTTATGAATAAGCAAATAATGTAAACATTTCTTTTTTTTTTGTCAAACAATGTAAACATTTCTTTAAATAAAACAAGCAAGTGGCTAAATTCTTGCGGATTAGCGATGTATAAATATCAATTGTGTTTCTAAGAGAATAATTATGAGAAACCGATGCGGACAAGATGGACGTTTGTCGGTTAACAAGTGCCATTCGTCTAGATCGAACAAAGCGTGAGGGACAACATAAATTCATGCAAATTAAATAAGTGAACTGATATATGCAATGCATCTACAGATCTATATCTATTTGAAACTTAAGGAAGAATTCTAAATGATCAAAATAATTGTTGAACTTTTTTGTTTACCATCTTAATTATATTTCACGATTTAATCTGCATTGAATTCGGATCTAGTATTTAGAGTAAACTTGATGATGCTCATGTGAGTTTTATAATGATTCTTCATGTTATGCGAGATTTCTAAAATAGTAAGTGTTGTAGTTCCAATTTGAATGATACATCTATCTTCTTAAAGTTAAAGTATCCATATGAACAAATCCTTAAAATAACATTTTAATTAGACTTAATGTCACTAAAGCTAATTAATCCTAACTTTCAGAAAGAATTTGTAATTGATTGTATTGTATAAATTAATACAAATACTATGATATAAAAACAATATATATAAAATCATTTTTTATCATTTCCTAAAATATTAAAACATATTAAATTTTCCTATTCAAAAATAAGAAGTTCGTTTATATTATATTTTTTTTTTTTTTGAATTGAATGTTAAATTGAATTCAAAAAAGAAAGACCTTGTTACAAATAATGTGACCTTATTCTAACAAAATTTTAGTAAAATAGAAAAGCACTCTTTCTTCCCTCACAATCGAAGCACTATTTTTCCATTTGGTTTACTTCTCAATCATATGTCGAACTCCTCACTTACTTCTCAAAACCTACCATCACAAACCAACTCCATCCGGTTACAAACATGTCAGAAGTACTCTTTCACTCCTCAAAAACTTTCAATTCCTAGCTCTCACTCCTACTAGGAACCTAGCCCTCACTCCTACTAGGATTTTAATAACCAGCCCTCACTCCTACTGGCCCCTAGCTCTCACTCCTACTAGGTCAATTAGTCGCCTCTTGTGCTAAACCAGAGTTGTAGTCCTCCTGCATACTTCTTATCTCTCCCCTGTATAATGTAGAGCTTATTTCTCACTGTTTTATCAATGAGCTTTGCAAGAAGACTATGAGGAGAAACTTTTTCTCCATGCCTTCTTCTGTTTCTTTCCCTCCAGATATAATGCACAGCAGCTTGAACTACATAACGAACCATAAACAGATAAAGCTTCCCCTGATTCTCATCTGTAATGATTCGCCTAATCTCAGACCAACTCACAGTATAATTCTCCTTTAACAGCTCTCTTGTCAGATTTGACCAGATCAAACTAGTAAAAGGGCACTCAAAAAACAAATGATCAATAGTCTCAACCGGGTCTTGACAAAAGCTGCAAGAGGTATCAGCTCCTACATTCCATTTAGCCATCTTGCTCCCTGTGGACAATCTATCTCGCATAGCCATCCAAAAGATAACAGAGTATTTTGGAGTAGAATGTTTAAACCATACCGCCTTGTGCCAATCATAAGTGAGATGTCTCTCCCGAATAACTTGCCAAGTCTCACTGGTTTTGAACACCCTCTTGTACTTATCTTTATTATTCTTCCAAAGTGGGATATCCCTCTCCTCCCTACATCGATTCTCTTTAAATCTTTCAATCTCCAATTCAATTCTGTTTAAAACAAGGGACCGGTGATTCTTTTTCCTGTGATCAATACTCTCTGCAACTTTAGCATTTTCTTTTATACCCATCTCAATATATCTTCCTTCACCAAGCATAATAACTATTTTATATTATATATAATAACTATTTTCAAAATTTTAAATATTAACTTACATGAATAATATAAAATTGACATAACATAAATAATAATTCAAAACAATTATTTACTAATTATATTACTCATATTTTTATGTGTTAAACGTTGAATGATGCAAAACAACATTCAATATTATATATAATTAGTGTATATAAAAAATAAAACAATATTTAATACAATGAATAATTTGATGCTAATATCATACAAAATTTATGTGCAATAAATATATATATGCTTTTTTTAACAAGTTAAAATAAATATGCACATGTGTGCTGGTCAAAATCTAGTTAATATTATTAATAAAAAGAACAAAATAGTCAGAACGAAGAATATATATATATATATATATCGGTTAGTAAATAAAAAATAATATATATAGATTAAAATGATTAAAATATATTATTTTTTATTAGTTACATATACTTAATCACTAGTATTTGAAATAAATAAATTAATGTAATTTAGTTAATTTTGAGTTCAAAATTACATTTGAACCGAAAATAACATTTTTATATAACAAAAAACGATAAATAACACTCTTTCAGAATAGAGGGAGTAGATAACTGAATTTATATTGAAGTGATAACATATTCTTTTCTTACAAAATGTGTACGACTGGCTAAAGAACTACAACTACTGCTACCACCATATTGGAATAAAGAAAATGTCTTAGATACTAGATTCAAGTTTGTAAATAAAAATAATTATAATTAGTGAGTGTTTCTGTTGATGTAAGATCTCTTCCTTAAAGTAGTCGATGATGTAGTTATTAAAGCAGACGTTGTATTAAGTGGATGAAAACCATGTCGAATTAAGATGTTAAGCTAGAGTCGTGTAGATTTGGAAAGTAAGTGTGTATCTTAGAGAAAATGTAAGAGGAATAATTAAATTTGGGAAGCAAATTTATAATTTAAGGGAAAATGAATAAGTGCATTCAAAAAAAAGTTGCATTTAATGTTATAGAAGATGTCCATATCGTACTTTTTGGAGATTAGGGTTTCGGAAACGTGTAAAATAATTGTAAGATAGCTATGAGATCATCTGTAGAAAAACATAGACACAAAAACTGGTCTGATAGAAATAGTGAGAAGCTTTAAAAATGTTTTGGGAACGTGCTGAAGGAATAGCTGAAGTATTTGCACAGAAGAGAAACAAAATTAGGTAAAATAGGAATCCTTAAATAGCAATTGTTAAGGTGTTAGTGAAACTGATAAGTAAATCTTATAATAAATTGTTTAAAATGCGATTTCTAATAAAACATTAGTTTTACTTGTACTTACATATTGTCTTTGGTTTACTTTCTGCATTACTATTATCGTTTCATCTTGCACTTACAGTTTCATTATAGATAGTTAGTAAACAAAAAGATCATCTTTAGTTTCAAAACTTTAAATAAATCAAAGAAACTGTTTCTTTCAGAATATAAACAAAATTGGAGAGTGTTTTTTATCGATTTCTTTATTTACCGAATAAATCTATACCATATTTACGGCGCATTAATGCTTCATTCATTTAATATCTATGTCCATAAAGTAAGTCTATTGATTGTCGTAGCTTATTGACTATTTGTTATCCACAATGAGGAGTCAAAATTTATAAAATTAAATATCTTTAGTTCATTGAATCCGTATAACTAAGTACTGCATAAAAACTAGGTTAAAAAGTTTAGTATTAGGTTAAAAAAATAAAGGAGAAATCCACATGGTGCCCACCACATCTCATATCTATAAAATGCAAAACATGTGGATGCACGAAGATCCCAAATACTAACTAACTAGCACATTAAAAGAAACACATACCAGTGAGAAAGATAGTGAGAGACTGAGAAAAAAGAGATGGCTAATACTGTAGAACAAGACTCCATGTATTCATCCTTTGTAGACGCAAGAATCTCATTCTCCAATGATTTTGCAGACAGTGATCGTAGTTGCAGCCAGCTTCATCAGACAGTTTCATCAAGACAGGATCAGATGAAGTACAAGGAAGCTCCTGTTTCGTCTGATTTCAAATTCAATGTCGAAAATTACGGTTTTATTTCTGCTGCTGATGAGATCTTCTTTGGTGGAGTTTTGTTGCCACTGGAGAAGACTCATCAGCGGAAAGTGACCACTATTAGAGAAGAGCTAAGTGTTCAAGATTCTGACCGTGCCAACTCAAAAGGATCTCGTAATTGGTGGAAACTAGGTCTCAGTAAGCCCAAGAAGATTCAATCCAAGAACAACAGTTTCCATCTTCCCCACAAATCTCAGGTAACATAGATTCAGTTCAAATCCATTTTTTCTATCTTTCGAAATATAAATGTTATCTATAGTAATATTGTATGCATAATCTTTTATAAATATGTTGATTGTGCAGAATTGTCTGGCAAGTATATTGGAATCTGATGACTGAACGATGGACTTGATTAAAAACCAGCTAATTACGGCGAACTAGACATCTAATTCTAATAACAAAATAAATTAGGAATAAATTATTTACTAGTATTTTTTATTGTTCTTGTTTTTCTTTGAGTTCTGGGCTTATCTCTTATTATAATGTAACTTTTTTATGATGACCTTTGATCGTATGTTCATTGTACGCAAACAATTAGCATGCAATTGGTTTAATATTTTGGTTAATATTTCGCCGGTTAAACGGACTATCAATTAGCATAGTTAATGTATTAATCAGCTAGTCCCTAGAAACATTTCTATGCAACTTTTTAAAATTTATTTTCTGAGAAGAAACACAAAATAGTACTAATTATGAGAGAGAAAATAATATTAACTCCGACAATATAGAATGCACTACAAAACAAACCTTACAAGATCCTTTCATGTGGGTAAAAATCTAAACCACTAGTAAATTGAATTCACAAACATGATGTTTTGGAGAACTATGTTTGACCACGTTTTCAAATACCAACACAAGCTAAGACGTCTGATTCAGTCAAGTCACAGTCGATTTGTTTTATTATTTAATTATTGAAAATAGAAAAATACGAAAAAGAACTAGCGGTAAATAAATCTCTTTTAAACAGTATATAAACAAAACTGTACACTTTTCACTCATTTGGCAAACCTTTTTGGGGTATGTATATTTACAATGGTCCAAGAACGAAGTTGTTTTATGTACAGAGGCAAGCTGAATGTTTCTATATGTTTTATTTTACCAAAATTATCCCATCTCTATGACTTTTCGAGGGACAAAAGAATGGTTCTGCACTTCACTCTATTCAAAACCTATACACCTGCAAGAAAGTGAAAAATTGCTGAAACCACGGAACCAAAAGATTCATACAAGGATCAAAATGTTTATTCTCGAGGTCTAAAAGAATTGAGAAACACCTAAACCGGTTTAGTGTACTTACATGCTATATGTAAAAGGGACCTGACACCAACATGGATAATAACCTGTAAACAGATAAGAAACACGAGCAATAAATGGTTAAAACCAAATGTTTGGTTTCTCAATCTGCTAGATGTGTACTACCGCAACTGCATAAACAATCTGAGAATGACCCAAAAATTTACCTGGCTTTTATCTGTGTTGTTGATCTTGATTCCTTTGTTTATCAGGTCCTAAGTACTTTTCCATGGATTCCTTTTTATGTTCAGGATCAAGACTGAAAAATCCCCCACAAGTCTTTAATACTTCGCAAATTAACATTTGTTTTCAGTCCTGTTTACAAAAAAAAAGTTGAATATAAACTGACCTGTTTCTGATGCCAACAAGAGCACTATGTACCGCCTTAGCACAAGCGGAAGCAGGTGCTATAGCAGCTGTTGGAACTCCCTGAACAACTGTTGCAAATGCTGATCCAGCTCCGTCTCCACGTTGATACTTCTTCAAAGGCGTGCGGACTAATGCAGAAGCCGTCTTTCCTATTCCATCACCGATGTTCCCGTATGCCTATAAAAATTCTCGGAAATGTAAATATCTGATTCAGAAGCGGATGCGGGATCATTTGAGTAGAAACTCAAGGCATCTATTGTTCTTTACACTCACCTGACGCATGCCTTGCTTAGCGTTTCTAGGCTGGTTATGTCTAACATTCGTCTTCGTTTTGACTTGGGGCTGTGGTGATGATGGTGCACTTGCAAATATATATTCCGCTCTCAATAAAATATCATGAGCCCCTGCTGCCAAGTGAACACCAAGTCCAACTGCTTCCAGTGAGATGCTTCTGAGAAACGCAATGGTACCTGAAAATCGATAGTTTCAGATCAGTCATGCGTACTATAGTAAAACACAAACTATACATTCATGGATGAAACCAAGGACATAAGGTGAAGGTATTTTTTTAGGATGTATACTATCAGAAACATAGTCATGAACTGACACTGTTGACATGAAAGAATCTTGGCCACAGTAACGGATGCTAAGAGGCAAATCCAAAATCAGCTATGCTAGAACTAATATTTATACTGGTTTCCTAGTCATTGTTAAGAGGGCTAGTAGTAATTATTATTAACCCTTGTGCTAGAGGAGTGAGATTGACACCATAAACCATTTATGACAGTTATAACCATATATGATAACATAAAGAGTACCTTAGATATCTTACTTTCAGGTAACAGAAAAGGATTAGAGGAAAACAAGAAAAAAATAGTGAAAATTGAGCATTAAGCACTTTAAGTTCACGCCTTACCTCTTTGGACTCCCTTTACAAGCCTTCGATCTTTTCTGTAACTTTGAACAGGTGACGAGACCAGCTTCGCAGCAGCAGCATAAAGAGCAGAAAGTGATCTTACTGTTGGGATACCCTTCAACAGTTGATGAATCTAAAAATACAATTACAGAGCATTAAAGAGCTTGTCAGCCTTTCTGTGCTGTTTTCAGCACGGAAACTTGCGAGAGTCTAAACCCATAAAAAGGATGACTATTAATGCTATGAGAAACGAACCTGATTCTGAGATATATCTTCCAACCACTCTCCTAGTACAGTCTCGCATACATTGCCCCAGCCGTAGATTCCAGCAGCATGTACATGTTTGAGATGTAGTTCAATACCCTGCAAATGTTCCTCTGTGATGAGTAAATAATGATGGAAAGAAAGTCGAAGAAACAAGGTGAAAATTTGTGTTTCTTACCTTCCAGGGAACAAGGTTCACTAGCTCTGCATATTTCCCTCCGGTTAGTGCTGCTAGATCAACATGATGGGGGCTGTAATCAACTCGAACAGTAACAGGCCATATGTCGAATTTCTGCAAGGGAATTTCGCCAGTCAGATAATTTCTCCTCTACCATCATATTGGCTTATAAGTAGATAAAAACTGTATTAACCTGAAAATATGGAAGAAGCGCTTCTTCTATGATATTATGTCCCTTAACAGAGACCGACAACGCTGAACCATCCGAGTCGCCACCGGAAACTACAGGCTTTTCTAGGTTGTTAGCTCCAAAAAAGCTGATGAGAAAATCCAGTTGACTTTGATGAAGATGCAACAGTATAGGGAGTAAAGCAACACGTAACCTGGGTGGAAAGCAATTCATATGTTAAACAAAATAAAGGGTTTACATAGGCAGTAACTACTGTACAAGCCATAAATAGAAGGTCCGTTTTAAGTTATAATGTACCACCAAAATCAATTTAAGGGAAAAAGATATAAGTAGCAGAAATAACGTAATCAAGTTTACTAAGATCCATATTCTCAGACATAAGAAGATAAGTATATCACTGTAGAAAATATAGATAGCATACCGGTTTTCCTCGAGTGGCGTGTCAGGGTCAGGTCTGACAGCTTTTAGTTCCAACTTGAATGCATTCGAAGATGAGTCTCTTGGGTGATCTTTTGAGTTGTAATATCCAAGCACCTATAATTTCATCAGAGAAAAAGTTCAGTTATCTACTCAGGTTACTTTTAGTTTATTCAATCTTATGACATTTAAAAGTGAAAAATATCAATTACCAATCTCCAAGGTGCATCTTTGCTTCTATCATAAAGATAAAAATCTTGGACCATGAAGCATAGCTTAGAGGTGCATGTTCCACCAATTGGGAAGATCTCATATAGCAACTGCACCCCAGATAGTTCCAGCTCCAGGCAAGAATTTTTATTCCGGCCCACTATATTTTTAGGAACTTCACATATCTTCTCAGAATCATGCCAATCAGAGCCAGAGTAAATCCTCCATTTGATGTCGATGTTTTTCAGAATAACACGTCCATTAGCTGTTACCGTCGAATGAGATGTCCCGCCAAAAGATGAAAACTCTCCATCCAGCATATGTTCCTCGTGATCTTCCTCAGTTGCTTCTGACACATGGTCTTCCAAAATTCTTATGGAAGTGTCATCATACCACCCAGAGTTTCCTCTACTCAAATCGGTCTCATGAAACACTTGTCTCCCAGATGAATCCCCTTCTTGAGGTACCTCTGACAAGGGATGGAACTCAGAAAAACAATAGTCTTCAATAATTTCAGGTAGGCCATCTCTTTCTAGGAAAATCTGGCTGCTTTCTGGTTTTAATCTGGAGGATGACTCAAACATAAACTGATTAGAAGGTGGTTCCTCAGGACTAGTATGTACCCAGTTAGGTGCCTGCCCATGACGGAACATATAGTTATTCTGAGATTCGAAAGAGTCAGACTGACTACTAGGATTGACATCAAATCGGAAAGCATCTTCATTTATTTCGCCCATCAAACCAATGATCCCTGTTTCAGTTTCGGAACCAAATCTTGAATTTTTCATTTCTCCACTTGAATCAGAGCAACTCAGTGTATCGCTGATGTCAAAACCATTCCTAACATTCGCCTGCTGAATGTTGTCCCATCGAGTCTGCAAGTGCACAGCTGATTCCTCCAAATCAGGAGCAAGTAATTGTTGGAGCTGTGTGGCCAAGCGAATCAAACCGGAGGTTGTGTCGCTGCAAGTTTCAATATATAAGTGAGATTTTGAACACTCTAACTCCCAGAGAAGGCCACTTTCCGAGTTAGTCCTTAGAGTTGCTTCAATTAACGCTTCAGTAGCAACTTTAACATAGCCAGTCTTATGAAGATTCTCTGAACTATACGTTCCATCAAGTCTTCTAAGGTCTAAATCCAAGGACAGAAGAAGCCCAAGATCTTGAATCCTGATTCTGTAGTCACTTCTTGTGGAATCAACCAGACTTGTCTTTGAAAGGCTGAAAGAAGATGCCGCTACAAGACAGGCCACCCACGGATCACTTGATTGATGTAAATGATCTGTATTCTCGTTGTGGGGCTCATAGCTTAGACCAACATCAACCAAATTAAGAGTAAACGAGGAGCTACTAGATGAGCTGGAGTTTCTCTCTTCAGAATTTGTTTCAACTTGAGAAGTGAAAAAAGAAGAAGCCACATCTATCCAATCCAGGCGTCCTCCTACGGCAGAAATCGTACAGCCCCTGACAGATATTGCTAAATAATCGTAACAGACCCCAGGTTCATGTAAGTGCAGAATATCTAAGCCAGCCAACCTTGACGATAATGCATTTGAACCTCCTCCGTTACCGCGCTTGATGGCAGAGTTGCTACACGAGATTAATTGCAACTCTTGATCATGTAGACCTGTGACAGAGCCCCATAATGTGCCTTCCCCATGGGCTAACCAAAATAAATCAGCACCAGAGATACTGCCAAGATTTGAGACAGACATAAGATTTAATTTCTGA